TCCACATGTCAACACATAGCATGTTTGAGATCAATCCTTGTGTGTGTCAGATAAATACCCCACATCGGCATAACCAACAAGATCGGTATTGCAATCATTGCCATAAACCACATCGATAATCCCCCTTAGATAACGCAATATGTGCTTGATTTCATTCCAATGTCTCATTGAGCGGAGCTATATCTTGCTAAGACATTAACTAAAAAAGTTATGTCAGGCCTTGTAGTGTTAGCANCTATTTGGCAAATCTTTTATCCGTCCAAATTTCATGACAGATTTGATCTCAAGATCCCCGTCAATATTAATAATATTGAGCGCTACATTATATTAACAATATCGTCGACGATCATTTTATGTCGGTTCCATTATTACCCAATAAAGACATTGAGATCTCTTTATTTCATTATTTTCAGGAACCTGAGCCTCTCCCATGAGGTTTGATGAAGTGTTATGTCGTGGTGCTCTTCTAGGGCACTTGCCTCCTTATTATGACTATTTTGAATATTTGCCCCTCTCCTTCTTTAAGGAGTTTTATCTTTGGAACCGATTGGTCTGTTACGCTTCATGTGTGCCATAGACTCTGTCCCTCATGGACTTTATTCTATTTGGAGCATTAGCATCTGAAATATGATATTTAGCTTTGGGTCAGCAAATGCGTCTGGCAATAATTTGTAAATGAATTATCACTTGAACATCACGTTTATATTTTCTTGTACGAGGATCTATATGTATTCATAATAATTCATTTGACGTATCACTTTCTCAGCTGCTCATTTTCTCCCCCTAATGTTGGGATCACCAATACATTTCCCAACCATCTTTGGGAACTCATCTTTGTGCATTTTGGTGGCATAATTAAATCATATAGCACATCCATATTTCTATATAGAAATTATTTGGTTCCTGACCTTGAACCGATTGTGATAGGGAGAAATGTTAGATGCGTACAAGTGCTGCTGTATATTAAATAATACATCTCATACCAAATTTCGTTTTTGGGAGTTTTGTTCTCATAACCAATGATTTAGCTATAATTGGAGGCATACAATTTCTGCTAAACCAACTTGGATTTAAACCGGTATTATTAAGATAAATCATCATAATTTATATTCTGGAATTGTGCTCTAATAACTTGAGCAAGCAATCTTGCAAAAACAAACTGCAAGTTGATAACAAATGTACATGTGACCATAGAATAGATGCATCTATTAAAATCATATAATAGTAAATGGTCTACATGGCAGGTGACTGGGCCCATATATATCACCTTTTATTCCTTCCAAAAATAAAGGGATTCAATCCCAACCTTTAAGTGGTATATCATGAGAATAAGCAGCGCAAGATAATTCTTGAAGAAACTTTTATTACTTCAATATATGCCAATATAATTCTCAATAAATTTTTCGCATCATAATTGAACTGAGATGGTCAACTGGTCATGCCAATTAATATTTGTTTTAGTAAACCTCTAGTTTACTTGTGGCATATGATTCCAGCATCATGCTTATATTTTTGTGTAGTACAAATAGAAAGAAGATCAGGTAACCTTTCATATTTATCCGGTATGATTATAGAAATATGAAGATATTCAATCTTTCTTTCATTTATAGTCTCAATATGCCAACCACTTTGACTTATACATTTGAAACTCAAAAAGTTTCTTTTGAGACTTTACAATATCAATATCATGAATAATTTTATTCATCCGGGTAGTAACAAATTAATTTATTCGGAGCTCTTAACAACTTTTGTACTACAAGATCTTTTATCATACCATTCATATGGTAAATTTCTCCTTCAAGTAGAAAATTATATCATAATAAATTGGCATGGTTAAAATCATCATAAGCAAAATCATTTCTTGTTTTAATTTTGCCTTTAATAACTTTTTATAAGGCATGACAAAATAACTTTTGGCGTATCACATGTACACGACCAATGATATATTCATGTAACCACATAATAATATTTATTTTCTTTATTTCACTCAAACCTCCCTTAGAGGTGAGTTGTGTGGTATTCATATAATCATGAATTGCATGTCTTTATTCATTGTTTTTATCATATATTGTCACATTCAACTTTAGGTTTGCATTCTCAATGCTTATCACAAGTCACATTCTCTTCAAGGAATGGATCATAATCAGCGACGTGCTTTATTATTTTCATACCAATTTGATGGTAAACATTGTCTTTACATTTTGAAGGACTATTTTGAGAACCCTTATTGTTCTTCTTTTATAATCATAGTGATAATTATTATTATTTTGATATTTGGAACGCCCACGTTCATTGTTCAACCACTTGTCTTCATTGAAACTTATTATGCACTGCTATCACATTCACTTCAAGAATGGAGCAAATCAAGTGGGACAATTTTCACGCCTTTTCATGAAAAAAATATTATTTTTCTTTAGTCATCATTATATCATCAATATGGTACATTGGGACTCAAACCCAATGTCTTACCAATATAAAGGCATGTTAGGCCATAATAAATTGGGACTCAAACCCAACTCTTATCATTATGGAGTATCAGGACTTGATCCCGATGTCTTACCCTCAATCAATGGCATAATAGGCTAAACAATATTGAGATTCATTCTCAAGCTTTAATTTCAATCACATGCCAAGAAAGTTATACACAACTAATTTGCAACTTAGCAAATCAAATTTGCTTTCTTAAATAAGTGCACAAATCTCAAATCAGCGTAAAGTTTTATTAATTATTTGTAGCATCTATATGAAATACAATCGTTTGTAATCAGAATATTTCTTCTAAATTCTATTAGAGTTTAAAAGGATCATAAAATCATTGTCATAATATTTATTGAGTCTCTCTCAAAAATATTATTGTTTTCAAGGTATACCCTACCTATTGGATTTGATTTAACGCCATGACTTTCCTTCACTCAATTCAACCAAGCAATTAGTGAATAAATTTATCAAAAGTACACCTAACACATATATAGTACTAATACATAAATTCAGCATTTATATTACCTGAAAAGTGACATTATAGGTAACAACTTACCAGTTGTAGCTTGTGCATCATTCATATAAAATACTTAAAAATGGTAAGTCAGTAGCAAGCATCAAGTAGGTCATGGATACTCAAAAATACCTCTTCTAGTAGTCATACTAATCATTGTTTGCTTTCAAATGATACGACCATAAATTATGAAGTAAACTTTCTCAATAACTGGTTTGTTTTCCAAATTTCAAAGAAGTAATTAATCAACCTAGATAAAGATGTGAAGTATTTCTTATTTTCTTCAAGATGATTTATGCTTTTAATCAGTATGGCCAATTTTTTTTTATTCTTTTTTTTTGGTACTATATGCAAGTGTAAAAATCCAAAAGGAAAAAAAATATTCATCCAAGTAAAAGAAAATGTTAAAGCGGCAGGACAGATTGAAGATAGTTAACACACAAATATGCATAGACAATTTATATAAAATATTCTTGGTTACCATGACATGCATCATATCAACAATTAACTGCTACTATGATTTTCACATATAGAACTTCGAAAATTTTATTCCATTCATGTGATATAAAAGATGTAATATTAATATGTGCTTATGCAATACATGTGTAGTACGAAATTGTGTGCATATGAGATTTTAGAGGAATGACAAGTATAAGATAATCATACCTTCTTACATTTCATTACTTACCATATGTAATTTCTCTTTACATTTAACCATGTGATGATATGTATAGCTTCTAATTGTAATCTTTCCAGATGTAGGAAAATTTTTGTAGATATATATACAATTGGTTAGAGACTCATGCTGATAACATGTTATGAAATAAAAGCAATTTAGTAAAACATGAACAAGAAGATGGCGCGACTTAGGATCAAGTACCTTGGATCGGTTATGCAGGGGATCGGGGAGATTGACGAGGATGTCACACACCGTATAGGGGTGGGGTGGATGAAGTGGAGGTTAGCGTCGGGAGTCTTGTGTGACAAGAAAGTGCCACCGTTACTAAAAGGTAAGTTTTATAGAGCAGTGGTTAGGCCTGCCATGTTATATGGAACTGAATGTTGGCCGGTAAAGAACTCACACATCCAGAAGATGAAAGTAGCAGAGATGAGGATGTTGAGGTGGATGTGCGGGCATACAAGGATGGATAAGATTAGGAATGAAGATATTCGAGAGAAGGTGGGTGTGGCCCCCATGGAGGACAAGATGCGGGAAGTAAGACTCAGATGGTTCGGGCACATTCAGAGGAGGAGCACTGATGCACCGGTGAGGAGGTGTGAGCGACTGGCTGTAGTGGGCACGCGGAGAGGTAGAGGAAGACCTAAGAAGTATTGGGGAGAGGTGATCAGACAGGACATGGCGCGACTTAGGATTACTGAGGACATGGCCCTTGATAGGGAATTATGGAGGTCGAGCATTAAGGTTGTAGGTTAGGGGAGAGTGAATATTTCTACAGCACAATAGAGGGAGACTATCCAGTTAGGAGTCAGACTAGGAATGTCATTGGTCGTCTATTGATGCAGGGCTTTCCCTTCTAGTTGTACTATACCAACCATCTATTTCGTATTTCGTATTTTGTATCCTGTATTTCATATTTCATATCTCTTATATATTATTGTTGTTATTGTTGTTATTTTTATTATGCATTTTTATGGCACTAATATATCATCTCCTATTGCTTTTTTGAGCCGAGGGTCTCCTGAAAACAGCCTCTCTACCCTTCGGGGTAGGGGTAAGGTCTGCGTACATATTACCCTCCCCAGACCCCACTTGTGGGATTATACTGGGTCGTTGTTGTTGTTGTTGTATGAACAAGAAATAAAAACAATTTAGTAAAACATGAACAAGAAATAGAGATAGAGAGAAGGAAAGAGATTTTCTTCTTCAATTGTGTGTATTTTCCTATCTATTACAAGACCTTTATATAGGCATGAAAAGTGAAAAAAATATGTCATTGAACATAGAAAATATGTTATTGAACATGTCATTAACTATTTGAGAAAAAGATCATGGAGAAAGAGTAGATATCCACCATATTTTGATAACTCTGAATAAGTTCAGAATGAAATCATGCTGCAATACATATACCATAGTTTCCAAGCAAACTTCTCTCACAAGAAACATAGGAAAAGTTTAACATAATGTAGTTGTCTCATCAAAGTTAGTCAAAACTTTGAAATTGAAGAATCTACTGAACACAACTAATATGACCGTGAAAGTTAAAACTCAATCCTTAACTACTGGCAAAGGGGAGGAAATGCATATGAACCCTTCATCAGCTTGATTTAGTCCTTCTTAGCTGTTACTGATCTTGCCTTCAAGTTCAAGAAAATCGCCCTAATATAATAAGAGAGAAAAATATTAGTACTAATATAATAATATTGACCGATCGACATGAATGCAAAACTTCCATTGCTTGAAGGTGAAACATATCAGAACCACCAAATAGGGGAGGGAAAAATATACGTACTGACCAGCATGAAGCAATAAAGTTGTGGAACAGAACACGTAACTGCAGGGGCATGTACTGATAGTTGATCCAGCCAACTATTGGCCAAAACTGCATATAATCACACCTTTAGTTTTACCAATTTGCTATGACACTGCATTTTTTCTTGTGAAAAAAGATTGATAATTAATTCATTATATCCTACCTTCCACGCAGTTAGCTGTATAGAGGGATAGTCCTTTCGAACCTTGTTTTTGACAAGACCCCATGGCCTCCCTGTGATACAACAAGTTAGTACCAACATTATTGACAGTGTGAATGGACAATTCCATGACTATTTTTCTGCTTCAGTTATGAGCTGGTTTTTATCCTTGTTATGCATAAACTACTTATTTAAGGAAACAAATGGATTCTGCAAGTATTAGTTTTCTTGGTTTCCTTGTATTAATCTCCGGATTCAAATTTGCTTTTCTTATTTCTCGGAAGATACCTCATTTTCAGATATTAACAAGCAAAAGGCACAATACTACAAACCAAGACTGACTTTGCACAAAGAGATAATGATCTATTAATGATTTCCAGTTGCATATTGATAACATCAGTAGTTTAGTTCTTTCGTTTTCCAGTGACATGTTTGAAATTCCATAAATACTCATCTGGTGTGATGACCCAAAAAGTCATCACTTGTTTTAAAACGAAATTCAGTGTTTTGAGGTCTTAAAAATCTCTTTTAGCATCACTTCGATTTGCGTGCGCAGTCCGGACGCGTAGCCGAAAAGCCTAGATGTAAAAATCTGTGAAAAATGATAAATATTGACCGTAAAATGAGCTAATTTGACTTCGGTCAACATTTTGGGTAAACGAACCCGGACCCGTGATTTGACGGTCCCGGAGGGTCCGTAGGAAAATATGGGATTTGGGCGTATGCCCGGAATCGAATTCCGAGGTACCAAGCCCGAGAAATGAATTTTCAAAGAAAATTATTTTCTGAAATTGTTTAAAGAAATTTGAAATGAAATTTGATTAGAACATGATGGTATCGGACCCGTATTTTGGTTCCGGCGCCCGGTACAGGTTTTATATATGATTTAAGACATTTTTGTAAAATTTGGTGAAAAACGGATGTCATTTGACATGATTCGGACCTAAATTGCTAAAGTTGATGTTTTAAGAAGTTTGAGAAAAAAATCCTTTGATTTTGAGGTTTAATCCGTTGTTATTGAGGTTATTTTGGCGATTTGATCGCACAGATAAGTTCGTATGATGTTGTTGAGTTAGTACGTGTGTTTGGTTAGGAGCCCCGAGGGCTCGGGTGTGTTTCGAGAAGTTTTGAACTTGAGAAAATTGCAGAAAACAACAGATCTGGTGTTCTGATACTTTCTTCTTCGCGTTAGCGGGAGAACCCACGCGAACGCGATGCATTAATTTTGTCGAAGGAAAATCCTTCTACGCGAACGCGTAGCTCAGGTCGCGAATGCGAGGCAGTGGGGGTTATCCCTTCGTGAACGCGGGCCTGGCCACGCGAATGCGAAGACCTGGGCAAGGGTGGGGCAATTACCCTATGCGAACGCGACCCCTTGGACGCGAACGAGAGGGCTCGAGGGGTTAAAGCTCCGCGAACGCGAGCCCGTTTACGCGAACGCAAAGGCTTATCCAGCCTGACCCATCGCGAACGCGAAGGGTCTGTCGCGATCGCGAAGCGCATTTTTCGCCCAGTGATTTTAAAAGACCAAAAACAGAACAAATACGGGATTTTATAAAAATTTCACAAACTTCTTCTTCTCCAAAGCTCTTAGGCGATTTTTGAAGCATTTCTTCACCATAATCTCTTGGGTAAGTAATCTTTAACTTGTTTTCTTCCATTTTCATCAACACCCACTAGATTTCTAGGCCTAAAACATGTGATTAAGGTTAGAAAATTAGGGATTTGGGTAGAATTAGGGCTTTTTGATTATTTATGATTTAGACCTCGTTTTGGGGTCGGATTTGAAAACAAATTATATATTCGGGCTCGTGGGTGAATGGGTGATCGGGTTTTGGTCCGAACCTCGTATTTTGACCAAGCGAGCCCGGGGTCAATTTTTGAATTTTTGGGAAGAATGATTGGAAAGCTATAATTAAGCATTGGAATTGGATTGTTTAGCATTTATTGATGTTATTAAATCGATTATGTATAGATTCGATTGGCTTGGAGCCAAATTTGAAAGGAAAAGCGGTGTTTGAGGCTTGAGTTGGCCGTGGAAGTTTGAGGTAAGTGTCCGGTCTAACCCTAGCTTGAGGGATTAGGAATTGTGTCCTATTTGCTAATTGCTTCTTGTAGAGTACGACGTATAGGCATGATGACGAGTATCTATACGTTGGTGTCGAGCATGACCGTGAGTCTTAAATTGATATATGTTGTGTTCCTAAATGATTCTACGGATGCTTTAATTGATGATTCTCGATATTGGGCAAGGATTTAGTTTATTTTCGTGGAACTTATTTATGATTGAGTATCAGTATTAATTGAGCTGAGTAGAAGTTGAGTTAAGATTGGTTATAGTTGATTCTCCCTTGCCAGGATGTTTGTTTTGATATTATTGTTCCCTTGTCGGGAAGTTATTATACTATTTTGTTCCCTTGCTGGGAAGTTATTATATTGCTTTGTTCCCTTGCCGGGATTTCTTTGTGCTTTTGTATTGGCATGAAATGGGATCGGGTGGTACGCCTACCACAAGATTTAATGAAATAGGAGCGGGTGGTACGCCTACCACGAGATTTAATGAAATGGGAGCGTGTGGTACGCCTACCATAAGATTTAATAAAATGGGAGCGGGTGGTACGCCTACCACGAGATTTGATGAAATGGGAGCGGGTGGTACGCCTACCACAAGATTTACTGAAATGGGAGCGGGTGGTACGCCTACCACGAGATACGAGAAATGGGATCGGGTTGCATGCCTGCAACAAGATGTGAACCGAAAATGAAGTCTGCCATTGTTTTCTCTATTCTTGTTAGAAGTAAATTTTGGCTTCTTTATAATTTTCTTGATATTTTATTTTTATCTGTTATTTCCCTCGAAACATGTTTCCTCCTTCCCAACTTTTATTGCTTGTATCAGTTTATTTCCCGCCATGTATATATATAACTGCACAGGTTTATCTGGAGTCTGGTCCTAGCCTCGTCACTACCTTGTCGGGGTTAGGCCAAGCACTTACCAGCACATGGGGTCGGTTGTGCTGATACTACACTCTGCACTCTGTGCAGATACCGGAGCAGCACTTGGTCAGCAGCAGTAGGGGAGCCAGCCTTCAGTCCACCGAGACTCCGAGGTAGCCCTGCAGGCGTCCGCAGGCCCGGCGTCTCTTCTATCAGTATTTATGTTCTGTTATCATTTGTACTCGAAACAGACTATGTTCTTTTCTTTCAAACACTTATTTGTAGTACTCATAGTTAGTCCGTGAATGTTGTGACACCAGTTTCTGGGTAGAGACACATGTGGAGTTTCTTATTATTTTGGTTCATTTTATCTAAGTCTTCCGCTTAATCTCATATTCCGCTGTTATTTAAATATTTATCGCTCGTTAATGTATGTTATAAAAAGGATTAAAACAAAAGAGTTAAGACTTTCTAATTTTGTGGCTTGCCTAGCTTCTACGAGTTGGCGCCATCACGACTCTCGAGGGTTGGAATCCGGGTCGTGACATCTGGTCATAATTATCTCATATGCATCCACGAAAAGATGAAAGGAGTAGATGACTTCTGCATGTAGGGTAAAAAAACACTTGGAAAAAGAGAAATGATTCAACAAAATGTCAAAAGAAGTCACTGGGAGGGGAATATGTGTTTTTTGATGTCACAGATGGAAAAGACTTTAGTCTTGCAATAGACTGGATTTCATCTTAATTAGTTTCATGCTTTGTTAGACAAAGCTCCGATCTCAAAGTTGTTATCTGCAGAAGGAAGATAATTGATCTAGAGCCTATCAAGGCATTCTCTATTGCATGTGTTACTACAGACAGAGTACTAGGATTGCTGGAATATTCATCTATTAAGTGACAAAGAGTAACAAGATTTGACAAGGAGAAAGGGTTGGCCCTGAATTTATTGTTGCCTTTTTCTTATTCAGCTTACTTTGACAAGCAAGCTTTAATCAAACAGTCATGCAGCTAAGAAAAATTCCTCTTGATCTGCAGCGATATTCCAAGGAAATCAATTGTAGTATGGACAATCGATTGGTATGCAGTAGTGACCGTAAATAAGAGAGTGAAACTTCTCATGTTGGGAGCTAATAAATTCTCTGCTGCATTTCATGTCTATTTACAATTAATTTGTGCTATGCTTTTGAAAAATATAATGTATACTAGTTTCGGGAGACAAGATAAAGAGCAAAAGTTATCCTAATTGAACTCAGGAAACATCTAAAACTTCTTGCCCTCCCCTCCCTTGTTTCATCATCGCTTAGACTTCAGGGAAGTCTATTCCCTTTCCCCTGCAACAAAATCGCTCTAACTTTTTCTACTACAATTCCAAATAAGTATGGCCATTTTTGCAGGCTAAGTTAGTCAGAGGTTAGCGCTAAGAGAAAAAACTCAAGCCCCACAGCCCCAACCAAGCGCCATTTCGTCTAAAGAGAATGTTAAACAAGTGCCATTTTTTCATGCCTCTGCAGAGAAAGATCAATTATCTCCTAAAGATACTATTAGTCTAGTTAGCTTCTATAAAAACCGGATAGATACAGTATTCCAGTTAAAATCAATTTTCAGTTTTTAAAAAAAAATGAATATGGATCGGCCATACCTTCAACGATCAAGCCATAGTACATCATAAAAAAGAAGTTGTTCCAAGGAGATGAGGTCAACTGTTCCAACAAAACCTAAAAGGATAAAAGATAAACTATTGATGTAATTAGTAACTTATTTATTACCATAAGCATAAGAGTTGCATTGCAAAAGATAAAAATTAGAAAACAAGAGTGCAACAAAATAGGGCAGGCCGGTGCACTAAGCTTCCGCTATGTGCGGGGTCCGTGTAGGGCCGGACCATAAGGGTCTATTTTACACAGTTAAACCTTGCATTCTGCAAAAAGTTGTTTCCATGACTCGAACCCGTAACTTACTGGTCACATGACAACAACTTTATCAGTTACGCCAGAAGTGCAACAGTTATCATAAAACACAGAAGCTAAGCTGCCTATCTTTAGATTCTACAAACTGAACACTCAGCTTGAAAAAAATTGGAACTTTGAGAGAAAAGTCTAACCTTTTTAGCAACTGTTGTATTACCCTTCTTTCCTTGAAAAATCACATCCATCAATTTATGCAGGAAATGCCCAAATGGTCCTGAATATGCAAATCCATAGAGCTGTATCCGCAAATTTTAAACAAATAGAACAGAGAAAAAAATCAATTATCAGACAACCAAAAACATTAAATTACCACCATAAATAACCTACAAAAACTATCAATAAATAACACAATGATCTCCCAATCAAGATTAGGGGGCCTTAAATTATAATAGAAATAAACTAGTACCATTAGAAGAAGTATTCTTTTGACTTGAAGCCTTTTGACCCCAGATATCTTCTGAGCAATTACATCACTGCTCCCAACTAAAACTCCAGCAGTGATTGCCTAAGGTTAAAATGAAAATAAAAATTTACATCAAACAGAGAAATCATAAACTCAAATTGAGCATCAAGAAAAAAAAAAGGAAAGGTAAGGTCGGACATGTTAATATGAAATTATACAAAAAAAAAATAAAAAAATATAGGACCTTGGTTCTAAGAGGATGGAGTTGCAGTTGAGTTAGATATTTTTTCCAAGCTTCTTTAACAATTTCAGACATGATTCTGAGCTTCAAAGAATCCAAAAGATGAATCAACAAATACCGTTGACTGAAATTTAGCCTCTTTTTTCTTTAAATCACAGCTCAACAATCTTCCTTCTCTATATAGTTAGTTGCCATTAGTATGTGAGTCATTCTTTATTTATGATTTTCGTTTTGCACATTTCGTGGAAGCCTCCATTCATTTACTTGAACATCTCAGACCCATTCTTCTCATCTTCTGAGTCTTTCTTTAAATAATAAAATAAACGGGATGATGGAGGGAATTTTCATTTTGCACTGTACATCTTACTTTCGGTCCTTATTTTCTTATTTTTCCTTTTTCAGTGTTATGCCTTAAGTGCAAAATTTTGTTAAACTATCCCATCACTTTAACTTGGAAAATAGTGGAAGTAAGGGCTGGTTTGAATTGACAAATTTTTTTTTTTGTATGCTAAGTAGTTGACTAGTTTACCAATTAGTTTTATTAAAATAAAAACAGAATGTAACTGAAAGTAGAAGTAAAATGCAAGAATTTAAAGATACCCATATTTTTATACTGGTTTGGATTCAATGTGAATCCCACTCCAGTCCCCTTGGGTTGCAAGGGTGTTCTCTCTTCAAAGTTCCTTGAATAATTTGTACAATTGTGTTTATCTCCAAACACCAACTCACTTTTGAATCTAAGTACGCTCGTGATATTTTCGATACAATGCTTCACCAAATTTTTCTCTCTTTCTTCTTTCTATTGATTACACAATAAACTTTGCTAAGATTACAATGCTTGTTTAGAGTAGAACAAAGAGTATGAAGTTGGTATGATCAAAGTATATGATTCTTCCTTGATAATCTGCATTATATACTTGAACTTTGGCTTGACGTATTTTTGGCAAACTGTTGAGAGATTTGTGATCCCAAGGGACTTGATTCTTGGAGTTGAATATGTTATGATTCATTTCAAGAATAAGTGTGGGCTTCCATAGGCGGTCCATGACTGCCTTGTCTTTTCCTTCTTGAAAGAAGATCACCTATAATTGGTCCTTAAGTTGTTCCTTGATCCATGGAATTGATAGCCTTCCTTTTTGACACATATCTTCAGCAATTAGAGTAGGCATAAGTTTAGTCCAGATCTCCTTAGATCGTGGTCCTTCCTTCTTTATACTCCATTATTTAGGTTGTTGTATCTTTTACATATCTCTTTAATCTTGGGCCTTCTTTTCTTGCTTCTGTTGACAGGTCTTTGCATTCTTTCTTTTACTTCTTCCTTTCTTGTCTTCGTTCGTACATCATTGATAGACTTGCTCGCATCCTTATTTACATCTCAAGTGATCCTGCAAACAATAATATTTTATTTTAACCATTCAAATCTAAATCTAACAATCTCCTCCTTTTTGATGATGACAAAATAACATATATAAAAGCAGTTTACTTCCCTGTTTAGTCGACTCCCTCCAAGTCATAATCGACTCCTTAGCTGACTCCCTCTCAACAAAACAATACTTTATGAATACTTGTATTCGAGTCCCTCTCAATAGGACAGTCATAAAAAAATGTTGCTACTTGTCTACGTGTACGGTAAACTCATTTCTCCCCCTTTTGGCATCAGCAAAAAGGATTATAACACTATGCAAACATAGAAAAAAGCATGCAGATAGAAATATTGCAAGCAAATTACGCAAACATAAATGCAGTGATAGGCATGCAAAGATAGTAAGTGTTCTACAAAAAAAACATCCAGTGACTAGCGAACCAGTCCAGAATAGCAAAAAAAATGTCTTAAACATCCATCCATTCACAACTAACGATGCAGAAAATTAGTGGGAGTATTGCAAATAGCCTCCTTCAGACGATCAAAGCTAGCATTCATTGAAACAAATACCACATCGATCCTGTCATGCACCACCTAGAAAGTTTGATTGAATTCTCTGCTAACTTGAGAATCTTGACCCTTATCGTTGATACATCTAACCCTATCTCCTTGGAGATGATATGATTGTCCCTAATGGTTGATTGAGTTAAGGCAAGAAGATCCTTGATGATGGTCAGCTTGTTGTCAATAGCAGTCAATTTCTCCACAAGTTCGGGATCACTCACACCAAGATGAGAACCAAATGCTTTGGCTTTGGATTCAGTCTGAACAACCTTAATCTCTCCTTCCTTCTTCTTTACCCAGGTACCCTTAGCACAAAAATACCCCATATTGGCAAAAGCTCTAGAGTTGTAAGACTTGGTGACAAAGACAAAGGGGTAATTGGAAATAGAGATGTTATGGGCGTCTAGGAGTTGAGTGATAACCATACCATAAGGAAGACTAGTGGGGTCATCAGCACTTTCAATCATAAAATTTATGAACCAAGAAGACAGTTTGATTTTAAGCTTGGTCACTAGACAATAAACAAGAAAAGTATCTCGTTGAGAGAAGGTGGAAAATGAACCGGCGCGAGGAAGAAGGGTTGTTGCTACAATGTGAGTGAGGATCCGAGTTTCAAAACTAATATCACTTGGGCCTAACTAGTTAGGAATGGAATCAGAGGGAGACTTGGCTATACAACGCTTTGCTTGATCAAAAGGTAATTTTAAAATCTTCAAGCCGTGGTATTTTGAAAAGTATAGAAAAACCAGAACACTTACATTGAAAAATTGAGTCAAACAGGGCACAATCTAGAACAATGTGCTTTCCTAGAACTAAATATTCCAACTTATCAGGCTTGTTAGAATAGAGATTAGCATAAAACATCCTTACTAGGGACTCATAGACTTTAGGAGGCGGTAGAGAGAGGAAGTTTGATCAACCTTGGAATTCGAAAAGCTCTATTACCTTACAGTTGAGGACTTCCATGTCATTCAGATTGATCACTTTGCCATGGGCAGTAGGCTTCTCCTTGAGGATAATGAAGGAGACTCCATTTGTAGTATCCTAGAAATTGATGTCTGGCTCTAGAGAGCTTGAGAGGTCTAATTTGAATTTCTTAAGGGTGACAGATTCAGGAGATTCTTCCATGGGTCATTTTCCAAGGGCCTTCTCATTCATACGGTGAGTGTTGTGTGAGAGCTCTGCCTGAGAGGAGGCAAAGCCTTCAGAATAATCGGAACCTAAATCTACTGGTTTTGGGGGTTGAGAAGAGGGTTTTGCCCTGGAATGAGTGCTTTTTCGAGTGGAGACAGAGGGATTTTTTGAGTTTTTTCACCATTGAAAAGTTTTGGAGAAAGGTTTCTGAGTGATAGGATCGATGAATGAAGAATGGTAGTGATCAAGAGGGTTAAAAGGAACGGATTTGGCGGTTGAGTACAGAAAAGGAAAAGGCATCAGTGAAAGGACATGATGATTGATTTTTCTTCCTAGAGAGTTGTGACTAATGGAAAAGTGTGAGAAAACGGAGGTGCATAATTAATGATCTATTACACATAAAAGGAAAAATTAGCCATATAAAGAATTAAAAGTAACACATAAGTCCTAATTTTTGAAATTAAGCAAAACAATGCCAAGTAATTCTCTCAAAGTACAGAATCTATCTTCAAGCAAGGGCTTTGTAAATATATCTGTTAATTGATCAATAGTGCTAACAAACATCAATTCTATATCTCCCTTAATGACATGATCTATGATGAAGTGATGCTTAATATCTATATGCTTTGCTCTAGAATGATGCACGGGGTTCTTTGAAAGACATATAGCACTAGAACTATCACAAATATTTGAATAGGTTTAAAAGATAATTCATAGTCACCCAGTTGATGAGAAATCCAGAGTAATTAAGCACAACATTGTCCAATATCAATATACTCTGCCTCCGTTGTGGACAGTGCTACTAAGACTTGTTTCTTGTTGTTCCAGGATATTAATGTCTTTCCCAGTAATTGACATATTCCACTGGTGCTTTTCCTGTCTTTTTTATCTCCTGCAAGATCAGCATCTGAAAAACTTTCAAGGTTAAAATTGTTAAATCGTAGATACCATAGTTAATAAGAAATAGTTCTGATAAGATAACGAATTATCCGTTTTATTAATGTCAGATACTATTCCTTAGGAGCTGACTGAAACCTTCCATACTTACACACACTGAACATGATATCTGGTCGACTAGTAGTTAAATAAAGTAAGGAGCCAATCATCCCATGATATTTTGTTTCATCTACTGAATTTCCCATCTCATATTTGTCAAGACTTATTGAAGGACTCATTGATGTACCAATTGGTTTAGCATTGCTTATGCGGAATTTTTAATCAATTCCTTTGTATACTTGTCTGACATATAAAAGTTCCCTTCTCAGATTGTTGAATTTGAAATCCAAAGAAAAATGTGAGTTCTCCCATCATACCCATTTCGAACTCACTCTGCATGAGATTAGAAAATTCCTTGCATATGAGAGAGTTAGCATTTCCAAAAATAATATCATCAACATAGACATGGATAATAAGATTAACTGCATAGGATCTTTTGATAAATAATGTAGTATCTACTTTACCTCTTGTGAAGCCACGATCGGTTAGGAATGAACTAAACATTTCGTACCAGGCTCGAGGAGCTTGTTTAAGTCCATACAAGGCTTTAGGAAACTTCATGGTAAAGCAATTGTGAGTTTTCAAAACCAGGAGGTTGTTTTTCATATACCTCCTCATCAATAAAGCCATTTAAGAAAGCATTTTTAACATCCATTTGAAAAAGTTTAAAACCTTTCAAAGATGTATATGCAAGAAGAATATGAATTGATTCTAACCGGGCTACTGGAGCAAAGATTTCATCATAGTCGACTCCTTTCTGTTGTGAGTAGCCTTGGGCCACTAAGCTAGCTTCGTTCCTGATTACCTTTCCATCCTCGTTCAACTTATTCCTAAATACCCATTTTGTTCCAACAATTGTAGCATTTGTTGGCTTAGGCACTAGTTCTCATACTTGATTTTTATCGAATTGATCATGTTCATCCTGCATATCTTGCACCCAACTTGAATCCTTTAAGGTTTCATCAACTTCTTCAGTTCGATTTGAGAGATAAGTGCAATGTTTACCTTTTTCTTGAGTGCTCCACTGGTTTTCATTCCTTCGTTTGGGTCTCCTATGATAAACTTCTGTGGGTATTATGGTTCACCTCTCCATTCATTTGGTCGCATTTCAACTACTGAAGTAGTCGACTCGTTTTGTGATTTAGTATGATTGCTAATAGGTTCACCAGTCGACTCTATGACTTTGTTTGTACTATCAATCTACTTTTGTAACTTGTTTGTCTGTAATACTTC